TTTATAAGATCTTATATAAGATTCAGATTCAAATCGAAAAAATCCTCCTCAGTAGTTACATAAGATCTTATATCCATGCCCCGTGCTTTCTAAGAGTATTTTTTCGATCTTATATCCAAAGCTTTCTAAGAGCTATACCAACCATTTATACTCCCCCATACACTACTTTTCCAAATTAGGAAGAAGCCCAAATTCGTCATGCAATGTGACTATCAAAGTTCTCCACATTTTTTGGTATGCAGTGACCTCATCTTTCCCAATCAACGCAGGGAATCTACCTTGTACAGTACATGCACTCACATCCAACCCCTCAAGGTTCACCAATGAGCCTAGCAAAACTAGCAGTTCTCTCATCATAGTATGTTTCAAGTGAAGAAATCTCAATTTAGTTAAATTTCTAATCGAATCAGGTGATTGTAATATGCTAGTAACAGCAACATCAAGCTCTACTAAAGATCTTAAGAAACCGAACTGCTCCAAAAGCTTGTTAAGCACCCAACAACTTGAATCGATAAGCTTTTGAAGAAGATGAAATCCTGAAACCTTGCTTGGCAGTTCATTGAGTATGTTGCATTCTTTTTTTTTCTTTTTGTTTTTTTAATAAGGTTAGGAGAATGATGCCTTGCAGTTCCTTGAGGATGTAGCATTCTTCAACATTCAGAAAAACCAAATTCCCCAGAAGGCCAGTGAATGAGTTAGGAATCATAACCAACTTGCATCAATCTCTGAGATTCAACTACTCCAAGTTCGGGTATGGAGAACAGTCGGAAATTCTCTTTAAGTTTGGGCAACAGCTGAGATCAAAACCTTCAAGTTCGAGAAAACCTGTTCAAAAAAAAATAGCTTGGTAAGGAAGATACAGCCGTGATGAGTTCCAATATGCAAAAAAAAAAAGAAAAGAAAAGAGATGATGTCAAATATATAAGTTACTATTTTTAAATTTCCTATTCCATTTTCACACCCCTTTAAGGTTGTCGCATGAGAAATCAAGGAAGCAAGCTTTGCATCCTACAACCATCTGTAAGGTATTGTAGGGGATATCCCCAACACTTTAGCCAGACTAATTCTGATGAAAGAGATTTGAATCTTCCATTAAAAAATGGATCACAACGCAAAGTAGTTTCAGGCGTCGAACCATACTTTCTGCTTTTATCAAAAAGTGGAATTGTTTTGGCCCAAAGGAGGTAGTCCCCGTTTATCAAAAAGTGGGAGATTGGGTTAGAATGCAAAGTTGGTATTGTTTTGGCGCCCAAAGGAAGATTAGGATAGAGATAGATTCAAAAACAGATTGTTGAGTTTTGAGGGTTCCTCTGAAAGTTCTAGCATTTCCCTCAAGCCACATGCTCCATAGCAGAGCCGGGACTAGCTCCATCGCAGAGCTGGGACAGATAGGTGCCATTTTTCCATTTTTTTAGAAGGGGGGAAGGGATTTAAATAGGTTAACGGGGGGACATGCCAGAGAATTTAAGGAGGGATGACCATAATCCTACAGTGACCTTGCAATGGATGAAGAGGTTGGGGATAGTTTCCTCTTCATGGAAACACAGAATGCAGCAGTTGGGGAAAGAAACACCTCTATGTTGAAGTTGGTCCAAGGTGAATGTTTTACCTTGGAGGAGAATCCAAGTGAAAGCTTGAACCTTATGGGGGATAAGAAGAGACCAAGTTTTGTTGAGGAGGGGTGAGGGTCCTGATTTGGGAGGAGGGAGTAATAAAAGGAGCAGACTGAGAAGGAGCCCGAACCGTTTGGGGACCATATTAGAGCATCTTGAAGGATAAGGGGGTTGAATATTTACCAAGGAAGAAACCCTCTCTCTGTGATAACTCTCAGTGGGCAGGTTTTTCTCTCTTGTACTAAACAATTCATTCGGACCCGCACATATTCTTACCTAACAATTTTTGATATTCTTGAGTGGGTTGGTCCCTCCCAAATGCGCACCAAAGAGTTTGAAGAGGTCAATCCCTCCCAAATACACACTAACTAAAGAGTTGAAGAGATTGGGTCAGTCCGTCCCAAATTTGCTTGAAGAGATTGGGTCGATCCTTCTCAAATGCACACCAACTGAAGAGAAGAGTGTTGAAGAGTTCACATTTTTTTCTTGTAGATAATTTCATTTTTATTGATTTTTTGACACAAAGGAAAATAGAAAATAAAGATAATACAGGTAGTCTAAAAAATCCTTCTTTGAACCTGAATCAAATCAAAGATCCTTCAATTGTTGAATTCAATTCTAATTCTAAATTAGAATTCTAAGGAATCAAAATCTCAGTTTCATAGAATATCTTAATTGTAATCGAATTAATACATAATCATCAATGAATTCATTTTTATTCTACACGTGATGAATCCGAGCAACAACCTATTCCATATATATATGGGCTGGAATTGACAAACAACCAATACCGATATTAGTGTTTATTACCGTCAAATAGAAATAGAAATGGGGTGTGGCCAAGCGGTAAGGCAACGGGCTTTGGTCCCGTTATTAGGAATGATTGGGTCGGTCCCTCCCAAATATGCACCAACTGGAGAGTTACTTCCTAGATGCGCTTGAAGAGAATACGTTGATCGGGTCTGTCCCCCAAATGCATACCCTGAGGAGTTGAAGAGTTTAATAGATTGGTTCGGTCCCTCCCAATTGCACACCGACTGAATAACATCAACTACTGAGAGTTGAAGTTGATGAGTTATAGATTGAATCAGTCCCTCCCAAATATGCACCAAGAGGTACTTCCTAGATGCGCTTAATATGCACCAAGAGGTACTTCCTAGAGAATACGCTTGAAGAGATTGGGTCGGTCCCTCCCAAATATGGGCTTGAACAGAATACTCTTGAAGAGATTGGGTCCGTCCCCCAAATGCATACCAACTGAAGAGTTGAAGAGTTAATAGATTGGTCTCAAATGCACACCGATTGAACACCACCAACTGAAGAGTTGAAGTTGAAGAACACAACCAACTGAAGAGTTGAAGTTGAAGAGTTAATGCCCACCAACTGAGGAGTTAAAGAGTTTAATAGATTGGGTCGGTCCCTCCCAAATGCACGCCGATTCAACAACACCAATTGAAGAGTTGAAATTGAAGAGTTCATGGCCATCAAATGAAGAGTTATAGTTGAAGTGGAAGAGTTCATGCCCACCAATTGAGGAGTTGAAGAGTTCAAGTTGCTTATTGTAAAAGCAAAACCTTATTGTACTCTTTATAACATTGATGTTTTTATCAACATCAATTATATTCAGATCTTCTTCATTAAATAGATCTTTAAGAAGTTGTTTCTGTTAAGAAGTTGCTTTTGCATGGTGACAAGTCCACCATATTTTCGAGAGGCTTCTTTAACATTTTCGAGAGGCTTCTTTAACATTAGCGAGGAAACAACAGGCAACAAAAATCAAATCTATTTAGTTGAAGAATATTCTTCCCGATACCGCCCATGCCATAGTTACCAATCATCCAAACATCATTAGCTAAGACTCTCATCACATCATCAATCCGAAAATCGAGCCCAATAGGGTGATTAGCGACACACCTTGGTTTTGTGTACGTCAACTTGTTTAAAACATGCCTAACAAGTTCCTGAACCAAATTTGCTTCATTCCTGTAGAAAATCAAATCCTCATAGGTAATTGAAAAAAACAAAAAACATGAAGAACTTTTTTTTATTAGTAAATGAGCAAAACATATGTGATGCATCAAAGAGAGTGATAACCATGATGTCAAACACAATGGCCTCGCTAGGAAGATCAATATATTTAAGCACAAGGAAATATTTCATGCTCGAAAAGACATTGAGGAGTAGATTAGCCCTCATTTTGTAGATATATAAGAATAATCCAAACAACAAATTAAAACAGCTTCGTCCAATCAATTCATGCACGTACCTAAGAATGGAATGCAAGGATAAAATAAAATAACTTGGAAACAAGTACATAGAAAACAACAATGGGCAAGAAAATCAAGAATTCACTACATAAATGGCCACTTCATGGGGCCTGCAACCTTAAAAGATAATTTGTGTAACTTGGAAGGGGCTACCTCCAACCGGGCGATCTAACCACTAACTGCCCGGTTAGATCAGAACCGGCCAGACCGGTTCCGGTTTTGGTGACCTACTGGTATTTAAAAAAAAAATCAAAGATATGTATATTAATTCCTAAAAATAAAAAATCTGATTTGTAATGTATTTTTTAATATTCTTTTGGCAAAGATTAAAATTTGTTTTGGTAATTAATACTCACTTTTATATTTTTCCCATTTTGTTCAGAAAATTTAAAAAATAACACAAATCGATTCTCTAAAATCCATTTTTTCTCTAATTTTACAGCCCGGGACTTATGCAGTTGAAGAGCCGATTTACCGGTTAGGCCGGTTAAACCGATTCCATGCCCATATCCGGTTAACCATTCCAGTTCGATTTTGCAAACACTGCTACCTCCTCAATAGAATCAATCTCAAATTCTTCTCTGCGCTACCCACTACCCAAGATTCCCTTTTCATAGTCATCAATCAAGACATAAAAAGGAAAAAGTTATCTTTTAATACAAAGTTAACGTTTCTCCAGAAAACAACATAAAACGGAAAACAAATATACTTGCGATTCTTCATATCCCAACCGGAAAGATCAGCAAATTGTTTCAAATCATCTCTCCACCTCTGCATCATATCCTCATCAAACGCATCATTTCTGCAATTCACAAAAGCTCCCTCAAAGGCCCCTATTGCGAAGCCTCCACATCATAAAACACAGGAAAAATTGATCTTCTCCTTAGCGAACCCAGCAAAGACGAAAGCTCTCAGAACACAGAGGAGATATAGCGCGAGGAAAAGATAATCATAATCACATCATATTCTCCGACAATACTCTGCAACTCTTGTTCTTGTTGTTGTTGTGTTTGAAGATGGAGGAGATACCAGAACTATCCAGAGCTTGGTTGAGATGGGCTGTGAAGCTCTTTCCGGTGTTTACAGCACAGAAATTCAGGAAAAAATTGCCATATTAGAGTTTCACCTCTCCATCTGGGGAGGCAAGACAGAGATTTAACGTTGCTTTCCAGGCAAGGGCGAGAGTTTTAGGGTTTTTCTCCACATTTCCTATCTTTAAAGCTAAGCTCGGCGGGGGCGGGGGACGAAGGCTAAGATTCGAAGAAACCTGGAGTTTCCGGATAAGATAAAGCGCCCCTCACATCATCAAAGGCCACTAAACTCAGTGCTATGAAACTAATATTGCAAGATTCGCTTAGGCCGACACAACTAATGTTGTCGGATTCGCTTTTGGAGTCGGTTCGTTAGAAAAAAGATAGGCGCTTTGACAACTTATTTTTTTAAAAAGTTTACGAAAGTTATAAAAAACAACATCACCCCAATCATTTTTTTTATTTTTAGTTTTTTGTACAATACTTCCAAGATAAAAAATTGTTATTTTTTTAACGGAAATGCCTTACCCGTATAAATCAAATCAATTCGCGTGTCCCAGGTAACGTATTGCCGAAGCATGTCTTTGCATTGTCGGAGCATGTCTTTGTATTGTCAATACACGTTCTCATGCCGGATCGTTGTAGCTAAAACCTGTATTGCCGGAGATGATATTCAGAAGGGCGGAGCGCTTGTTTATACTGTCGGAGTGCGATCCTCCATTGTCGGAGCGCTATGGCTCTAGAGACTTCATTGTCGAAGCGGAATGCCGGAGTGCCAAAGCGAGTTCTCATAATACCCGAGCGCCGCGGCTTAGGCCTGCATTGCCAGAGCACACATTCAGAATGCCAAAGCGCGTGTTTGCGCGTGTTTGTACTGCCGGAGTGCGTGTCAAAACAAGAGAGAAGGTCGTGTGAAAACAAACAAAGGTAGTTTAGTTTTATTTCATGCTACTTTTGAGTTGACATGTTATTGGCCATAAAAGGTTGTTTGGGGAAAAAGTGAGAGAAAAGAGTGGAGTGGGGTAAGTTGCATAGATAATTCACTTTATGGTGTTTTTTTTGTAATTTTTCCAAAACTAAATTAATATAGGGTGATGATTTCATTAAACCGTTATATATTATCAAAATGAGTCTCTTCCAACAATGAATCTAGACGATCTATTAATGAATTTTAAGATCTAGGCCGTTATGAATTCAAAATCATTTTTTTTCTTTTTTAATATTATCAATTTAATGATAATAAAGTTATTTCAAAAAATTTTAAGACCTAGATCTAAGCATCTAACCAAAATAAACGGCTTATGTTAATTGGGCTAAAAAAATACTTTCTAGTTTACGTTTTAAAATATTCTTTTTTGTGATTGTTAAATAGAATGAAAAGAGTATATATTTTAAATTTTGGATCAAACAAATGAAAATTGTTGCATTGTACTATGATGCAACCGTTGCATGAGATCACCACCCTTTAATATAAATAAATTGATTATTTATGTATAAAATATATGAAAATAGAAACAATAAAAAATATATATTAAAAAATAAAAATATACTTTTATATAAATGTTTCTCTGCTTTGGCCAAATCAATTTGAAGTAGAATGTCATCAAACCGGCAATACCAGGCTTCGCTACTCTTCTATCTAGGTCTAAAATCCAAAGGCTTCGACTGAAGCGAAGTGAATTTGACAACACTGGTTACACAACCTTTTTTTGTTTTTGTTTTTTTTTTTTTTGCCGTGACTATTTTCTAGCCATGTTGGAAAGAGCATAACCTCGCCATGTTGGAAAGAGCAGGACCTCGCCGACTCGGGCCGAGTGCTCAGCCCAGGACCTCGCCAAGTATTCTTCCTGATTGTCCGAATAACCCAAGTTGCTGCAAGTTCTAGCCAAGGTCAAAAAGTATTAAAAAATAAAATATGTTAAAAAGTTAAAAAAAAAAAAGAAAATATCTTGAAAATAAAAATAAAGAAAACAAACCTAAATGAAGTTACAAAATTAGAGATAAATGAATTTTAAACACTCAATTTGTGACTGACTGTATTTTAAAAATAATTTAAAATATAAAAAGAAATATTCATGGCCAAAATACTATGTATTCTTTGTCAAAAAGATAGAAAATATAAAAGTAGAAATTATTAATAAATTTCTTTTTCAAATTTTTAAAATTTTTATTTCTTTAAGATTCATGAGTTGGTCACGCAACTCGGGGATAATTGGCTCGCCAGGGTGGCGAACCCTAGTTACTCAGGAGTTTGGGCTCGCTCCGTTTGGGCTCGCCGGAGTGAATAAATACTGCTTTCTAGCATCTACCCCATGAAAGTAATGTTCGGGATAAATATGAATCTATTATATTCAAGATAGTTTATCTTTCTAAAAACATGAAATTTTAAAATTTTAATGAAAGAAACTATCTCAAATTTTTAGAGATAGAACCTATCTAAATTTTTCCAATTTTCTAAGAGAAATTATCTAAAATTTAAAAAAAGAAAAACTATCTCAAATTTCAAGTTTTGATAGATAAACTATTTTAAAAAATTTAGAGAAACTATATCAAATTTCAAATTTTGAGATAAACTCGTTAAAATTTTGAAAGTCTTATGAGAGAGTAAAGCGGTGGAAATGCATATGGGCTCATCTTAAAAAAATTATTTTCTTATGTGGATGAAAAAGTAAACAATATTGGAGTCGGTGGTGTAGCTAAAAAGTATTAGGGATGGGCTATGCCTCTATCCAATGAGGTATCTATAATTTCCTCCCTTTTTTTGTATTTTCTCTGTATTCTTTCGAGATGCCAAGCCACGAAGGAATTATCTATTCACTTGGGATCAAAAAGCAAATTTTTCTTAATAATGATTGTGGACCTTGAATATCTAAATTCATCTAGTGACTTAGGACCATGAAACTTTGAAGCCAAAACTTGGTCTTAACCACCTCCTTGATGTCATCCATTGACTTCAGATAATGAAGATCTGAACTTTAAAGCTAAAACTAATGTAACGAAACCGTAGCGAAAAAGCTCCGAGGCTAATAACTTTGGAATTCCTCCCCTACATAGTTGTTCTCAAATAGGCTTCAAAGGTTTTGAAGTAAAATGTCAAACGCCCAATTTACCCTCGAATAACTATTAAAAACACTTATAAAAAAGAGAACTTTAAGCTCATGTCCCTTTGAATTTCAATTATTAAATGAATCATTAGACAATTTGTTTTTTATATTCATCCATGCTTTCAAATCCAAAGTCGTAACTCATGTAATGACTCAAAAACTTAAAAATCCAAAACACATCTTTTCAAATAATGACTTCATATTAAAAAATAATACCCTAGCACCAAAAGATCATCATTATCAATAAGAACAAGAACGGCTATTTTTACAAAGTTTTATATTTGCTACTTATCTAACCCAATCCACTATCCTTGCCACCAAAGATGCGTCATCTAAATTATTCTTTAGTGATTACCATGGGTTGGTTCTGCATTTATTTACTTCCAAATTTGAAATCCAAAGAAATACTCTGATTTCAAACTTTATTTGGGATTGGCTTGCCCCATGCATTCATGGTCTTCCAATTTTTTTAATTTGGCTTTAGAAGAATTCTAGATTTTTTTTGGAGTATTTGGCTTCAAAATAATTATAGGACCTTAAGGCCCGAAGAAACACAAATTCTTTTGGGGAAATTTTTGTAAACATTTTTCAAATTTTATGGAATTTAGAAACTGTCCTTTATAGTTTATATTTTCATATTTAAAAGATTCATCTTTCACTATTTTAGAGAACATATTTTATTTTATTCTATATTTTTTTATATGCATCGGAACAACCTCAAATTTTGGATATCCAAATTTCTCACCATCATATACCCCTATACAAAAACAAGATAATAATTTGAAATAAATAAGAAAACTCTCTCTCTCTCTCTCTCTCTCTCTCTCTCTCATAGGACAAAGGCAAAAAGAAAAAAGGAAAGAAATTGAAATTTCAAAGTAAACATACAACAAAAGAATGAAGAAAGTAAGTTCACAATAAAAATTTTCTTGCACAATCCAATTTTTCTTGCACAACTCTCAGCAAGGATCTCTCTCTCTCTCTCTACCCCCTTAGGGTGTCAGGCTCGGAGTTCGCTCGAGCCCTTCTCCAACTCTGAAATCGGCCTTTTCCCCAGAGAGCTGAGCCCAAACGCTCGTGCCCTTGGCTGTGCTCCCATTCTCTTGCTCGAGCTCAGCCACAGTCTTGAGAATTTCAGACTGAAGAAATGGGAACTCATCTTTCATTTGCTCGAAAGCATCAGAGCACATCACGTCTGCAAATAAACGATTACATTTCAATCACCAAAAAACCAAATCGAAAACTCACACAAAGAATCAAAAATCATGTACTGGCCACTGAACTGAAGTGAATATTAGACCATGCCCACGCTATAAAACATACAAACCGGCCTCAATATGATAGAATAGAGAAAGTACAAAGTTTTTGTAGAGATGCGGCCTTAGATGGAGATGGTCAGGTCGACAGGTGCCACAACATGCTGTTCTCAACAGGTCTTGAGTGAACATTCCAAAAAAAAAACATAGTTTTTATAATTCCATTGATCTTTACTCAGAAAAAAGTGAAGAGCCTTAAGAATTTGAATACCGTCTTTTACAACACTTAAACTAGCATATAAAAATTTCACATACACACATTCCCGCGTGCAAAAAAATACACTAGCATGAACAGGTGTGCGTATACACTCAAAATTCTCATTGGATTCCTTGAAAGTTGATACCACATAGACTAGCTGTTTAATAGTTTAGTGCATGTAAAGCGGGAGTGAACTCATGAGATGGAAACAGTTTATTTTTGTTAAATAATTTAAACACTAAAGTTCCATATCATTGGGTCCCGTAAACAAAAGTCTTAGCAGTGAACAAAAGAAATGGCTGAAACAATACAAAAGAAGAATCGAAAGAGATCAATAGCCAACCAAGTATTGGCCATAAGGGAATATTTAGGAAGGGGGCTGGGTCATGGTGGTAGAGCCCCCAATACTCAATTGTTGTGGTTTCCAATCCTTCTAACACCACCCAGACACCTTCAAAAAACATAACTCCCTAATATATTTGAAAAAAGGGGTAGGCCTGTCTCCCCCACTGAATTACCCAAAAAAAAAAGAAAAAAAAAAAACGAGAGAGAAAACAGGGGACAGTAGAGACTGAAAACATATTGAATAATGACATGGCCAAAAAAAAATATCAAAAGGGTAAGGCAGACTAGAGAATGATACATTATGGATTAAAAAAAAAAGAAAAAAGTTTATATAAGGTCTCAACCTTACACTGTATGGGTAAGGTTCACCTAAAAAGCCCACTAGTGAGGGTTTGTTCCTATGTTGGAAAACCCTCAAATCAATCATCTCGACCTCGAGATTCATAGACATGAAGAAAAAAGGGATTTCTTGTCCTAAAAATAGTTCTTCTAACATATTATCTGAACCGTCTATTTTTAATATTTTCAAGTGTTCATAAATCTGTTTGAAGATCACCATTTTTGGAACTTTAAATTTCATAATTGCGGGCAACAATAATTTTTCATATCATCGCAAGGCTTTGCGGCACCCAAATTGCATTTTCGACATAGTTTTGAGGCACACCTTACTTCAATAGTATAAGGTTGACACCATATACAAACCTCTCCCAAAAAATAAAAGCACCATCAGAAATAAATAAACCATCATATAAATAAATAGAACAGACAGCATGCATACCAGCCAAATTCTCAGCTGCATACTTCAGGCACATAGCTTTCAATTCAGTGGCATGGTGACGTTCAGCCAAGGCAAGAGTGCTAGCAACTGTGGAAACTGATATGTCCTTGCACAATTTGGACTCACATAACCGCCTTAGTCTTTCCAATTCATACTTGTCAGCTGCCGCTAATAACTTTGCAGGTAACCTCTCAGCTACTGATGAAGACGACCCAAAAGAGGATGTGAACTCCTCCTCCTCCTCATCTACAAGAGTATCTTTGTATATGAAATGTATCATGGCCTGAGTTCAGTAAAAACAAGTGAGATACAAGGATATGAGACACCAAAGCCAATTCTTCAGAATAAGCCATCCTTTGAATTAAAACACACGTGACCAGTCCCCCCAGCCTTGCAACAATCAACATAAATTAAATAAGGAAATCTGGTTGGGCGCCCAATGTTTTTCATTAGTCTTTCTTTCTTTTTTTAATTTTTCCAACAACTAAAAATACGAGCTATGCTAGCCAGCACCCCTTGTGATTTGGCCACCCACCGAATAGTCGAAACTTGGGTGGACAGCCTAGCACCCTCAAATAAACTTGACGCAGTAAAAATGTTTTTAAGGACACCAATCCATACGCAGGTTTGCATACTGCACATACTTTGTTATTTTATAGGAGGATACATATGTATGTTTGCGTGTGTGTACGAACATAGTGAGAAGGGGTTGAAACTAACATTATGTCTGTATCGTATGAAGGGGTTAACAATCAAAACAAAAGAAAAAAGATAAAAATGTGAAAAAAAATAAAAAAACACTAAGGGGATCACCAAGACAAAGGTTGTCTCCACCAATGGCAAACCAGGAAGAAAACTTGAGGCAAAACCAAGTCGACAAAAACAAAACAAGAATCAGCTAGTCATGAACTACAGTTTGCCAGCACCACCCTGCTAAAAACTAACGAGGAAAAGAGCTAAAGCTTAATAGATGGCCCATACTTCTTGCTCTTTTTCTCAATAATTTCTTCGGTTGATTTGATAAATCAGATACACTAGTCGTCTCTCTCCCTCGCTTTATGTTGTTGTATGCATGTGTACAATTACGTCTCTACATACATGCATCAGCAAACAATGATGGAAGGAAAGAAGAGAAGTGCCACACTGGTTAGATTTCTCTCCATAATTTCTTATCATAAAACATAGTTGTGCGATAAAGGTGATACGTAAAGGGAATGGGTTGTCATTGCTCATGTTTTCATTCAACATGTTTTATCATATTATGCTTGCCCTATCCTCCTTGTTTTCATCAAAAAACCAGCCACACCAAATTACAGCATGCTATATACTTTATATAACATAGATGCATTACTTGAAGGGAACCTCACCTTGAAGACTTTCGGTTCCAAATCCGTCACAACAATTTCACCATTCGTTTCTTCAGACACATCGAAGAATTGAGCTTGGAAAACAGGGGATCGAGCAGCCAACACAATCTTGTGTGCAAGAACTTTCTCCCCAGACACATCAAAAACAGCATCTGAGTCCTCCAAAGTCTCTAAAAGTGCACCGAAGTATGCTCCCAAATCTGACTCAGGGACCTGGATGGAATATAATTGGAAAGAATCTGTAGCCGAAACCACAACTCCAACTGTACATTTTATTTTCAAGCAATCATCTTTTAGGTAATCCGACGTTTCAAGCAAACTGCGCCTGAAAAAACGCTTATAACCCCTTGTGAGGGCCAAAAAAAGTTGTCAGCAGAGGCATAGAAATTAGCTAAGCAGGTAACAGAGGAAGAATGCATTATTCAACAAGAGCAGATGAATGCATCATTAAAACATATTTCCAAGTATTTGCATTTCTATGGGGTTACTTTAACATACTATTATTTCATTTTCTTTTCTTTTCGTGGACAAAGCAGTCTCAGCTATGAAACCTAGTGGTGCTGAGGGAAGAACTTGCACAAATAGGTGGTAAGGAAGCATTGTTTCCATTTGCTAATAATACAAATTGGTATTCACAATATGGAATAATTTATCATTTAACCTCATCAAGGTCACAAGCAGACACATGCTGACCAAAGTCAATAGCTGCATGGGATAGACAACAAAAGCTAGAATGAAAACAAGAGGAATATTCATACGAGATAAATGGGAAAATAACACCTGCAACTTATACTTAAAACCATTTGAAATAAGAAAGTCCCACTAGTGCCATCAAAACTTATAGACTAAAAGTCCAAAGTACAACCTATGGTTGCCAAGCTAGGTGCAGTAACCGTGTTAAATATAATTTGAACTCAAAATACTCCGACCAAATCAAAAGATAAAGATAACAAGATTATAATAAGATCATCTGATCCAACTGCTAAAGGTACCAAGGTATATAATCAAGACAAGACAAGTATAGGAACATGGACTAAGAATACCACCAAGTCACTTCAAACAAGAGAGTGGCTGGTCTTGGTACATGTAAGCTTTTAATAGCCAAATCTTGTAGGCTAGTTGTACAGAACATTTAGAGCAAGATATCAAAAGATCTCGGTTTAAGACCAGACTTTCAGACTTATATTCCCATGGCCTTATAATCCTCTCCACATGATAAAGGGGAAGTATGGACGTAATTTGATATGACTCCCCGTATATACATAACGGTAGCCATGGCTCACCGGTTGCCACACACATGTTCATCAGCCATGATGACCTCCGGTCACTAAAATTGAGATATCTCCTAGTCTAGGAGTCCTCTCATAAAACTTCAGGGAGTAGGTTCCAGACTCAACGTTGTATCCACCGTTGGAAGGAAATACCCCATGGATCTTCCATAAAAAAAAGGATGAACTTGCAATAGCAGCCATAAAACTGTGTGAAAGATTTGACTGCCGGTATGAGATTTGTCCCAATTTATATGGAGTTTTCTCATTAAACTTTGTGGCAGTTTCCCTCATAAACCCCTCTACAAGAATATCAAAGGTTCAAGGTTTATAATCCCCTAAGATGAAAGCCATTGGGCCCACAATGGCTTCATTTGCTGTCAAAATCAAATACCGAAATGGGTTAGCTTTGACAATGCATATCTCCCACATCAGTGATCCACTTGAGATGAGACTTGGATTGTTGGATTCGTCTTTGAGTCCTCATAATCAAGTAAAGTGTCGGGACAAAAGGCTTCACCATCAAGAAGCAACATTAGTTGGAAGCCAAAGTTTTCATCTGCACTATAGTTTAACCACCGATGGTGGCAAAAAACCATCAACACCCTAGTTTTTCTCGCATGGACTCATCACAACTCAAGTTAGCTTTGATTTAATTAAAATTTTCATGACAATTTGCATTCATGTAGGACTTAACTAGGCACCTACAGAATGAGGTACCGTGGTGTATGTTGTTCACAAATGACAATGTTTTGATCGATGAGACCCGAAACAGCGTCAACCCAAAGCTAGAACTTTGGAGGGATGCTCTAGAATCTAAAGGTTTTAAAATTAGCCACGCTAAAACAAAGTATATGGAATGCAAGTTTAGAAATAATAGGAGTAGAGACGAGGAAGTAGTTAAGATTGATGGCCAGGAAATGTTGGATGGACAACAAACCATATACCCATAGAATGAGTGTAGCAAAGATGATGATGGTGAGATGGATGAGTTGCAAGACAAGAAGGGATAGAATTCGAAATGAATCAATTCAGAAAAATTTACGTGTGGCATCAATAGATGATAAGATGAGAGAGAGTAGACTTAGGTGGGTTGGCCATGTGTGGTACAGATCCAGTACAACACCTGTTAGGAGGTGCGAGTTAGTTCAAGTGGAAGGCCCAAAAAGGGTATGGGATAGGCTAAAAAGAACATGATTGAAAGTAGTGATAAAAGATATGGGGACTTGTGGCCTCACTGAAGGTATGGACCCTTAATAGAGCAAAATGGCGGTTAAGGATTTGTGTAGCCGACCCCGATTAATTAGGAAAAGGCTATCATGATAACGATGATAATGACAATTTGCGTTCATCTTGCCCCAGCTCTAAGATTGTTTTCTAGATCTCCAACTCCCAGAAAGTGCTTTTCATAGAAGCAGTCTAGGATTCGAACAGAGTTGTGAAGTTCAAGTTGGCAAACCTAGACCTAGGGTGGTTTTGAGAAGTGAATAACTTCTTGAAAAAGCTGAGTAATAGAACTATTAACTTGGACTGGTGACACAATGAAAACAAAGAACCAAAGACTGGAGAGAGATTCCAACCACAAAAAAATAACCTAAATCAATACACCATAAGTAGGAAACAAGAGAGAGAATAGTAAGCTATGCACACCTTCTCCAAGGAAAGAAAGCTTTTTCCTTTTTTCTTTTTTTCCGCTTTGGCTTGAAAATATTCCTAGTCTTCTTTTCCATCTTGAGGCACTTATCTTTCTTAATACATAAAATAAATAAGAAATAAATCAAAACCGTAACTTACCTAGTCCCCATGTAATTCCCAGTTAGCCCAAACAGTCCTAAATCTAATATGTTTCCCATCTCGCTCTCTCTTTCTCTCTCTCTCTCTAACTTATTCTTCCCTACTTTCTTGGACTTCACTTAACTTCCTTCTATCTCCCTACTTGTAAGCACCTCTTTCCTAAACCCGATTAAAAGAGGAAAATGCTATTATATAAATGGAAACCTAAAACTATTTAAATGACAACTTTGCCCCCTTGTTAATTGAATAATGACCTCCTCTCTACTAAATAATAAAAATAAATAAAATAAATAATAGAACTCCTAAACTCTAAAATTAAAATACAAAGGAAAGCCAAAGACTGCACTAGCTCTTGTATCAGACTCCCCTGACCCTAGTTGGAGAAAACCAATGCTCGAGTTTAAAGTGGATGAGTCCTACTTTAAACCCATGATCTTCTTCAATCCTAAAGGCCTAGTCACGATCTTTAATAAAATATTTCAACTTTCATCTTTAGATACAAAATCACTCAATAGGATATATCTTCATCATCAATCTTTTACCGGTGAAATAAGATATGTCTTCGTCATCAACCTCCATGCATTTCATATAATTCTTAATCACATTCTTGACATCATCTTCATATGTTGCATTTCTGCCTCCCCCCTTTGTACTTCCTCTTAGCTCAACTTCTCTCTTTCTTCCTCTAAAATCTCATGAGGCTCAAGCTTCTCTAGGTTCAAGCCAACCTCCTGTTTCTCCATCTCTCCATTGATGAGAAAAAGAAGTATCCTTGCTCCCTCAAGGCCAACTTCTTTCCTTCCATATTGTTCTTCATCAAACATAGGAACTTCATCAGAGATGGGGTTACATGTAACATCAAGGAACGATGATTCCAATTGGAAATCCAAACCAACTTGTTCTTCACCTTCAACCGGTTCTTTGTCAAAGATCGGACCACCCAAAAGACCATAGCGATCAAAGTGATCGAAAATGTTCTCATCGCACTATGAATCATCTCCCGACCCAACATCTAGTTCGCAAATGGATTAATCACATCGTTCTCGGGGCTAGATATGAAGCTCTTGCGCCATTTGATCTACTTGTCTAAGTAGATGACGAATCAGGTCAATATGGGATTGATTGTGCCTTCCTCCCCTTCCGCATCCTCAACCTGCTATGGTAGATCAATAAGCTTGCTTTGATACCACTATGACGCAACAAAAGAAAGAACAAAAGAGTGGAGAGAGGTATTCCAGCCACCAAAAAAAGTATGCTAAATTAACACACTACAAGCAGGAAAAAGAGAGAGAGAGAGAGAGAGAGAGAGAGAGAGAGAGAGAGAGAAGAA